TCTACAATGTTCATCGCGTCGTCGCTATCACGATCGCGGATAAGGAGGTGGTGGAGTACGCGCCCCTGTTCAGCGAGATGATGGCCTGGTCGCTGCTCTCCCAGTACCAATAGGTCGCCTTAACGTCTTGGTTACCGTCCATCAGTGGTATAATGCTCACAGGCATCTGTCGTCTGTCGATTGTTGTCGCATTTTGCACACGCGCGCGCCGCGCGACCCGCGTCGCTCCGCGAGGGCATGAGCCTTCCGCGATTCGATCCCGCAGCCAAAAGCTGCTCGCTCGAACCGCGGCCGACTCCGCCATCGCGGCCGCAGCTGTTGAGCTCTCCAGAAGACTGGTGCCTCATATGCTGCCTCCCTGCGGATGCTGCCGGCGAGCCTGGCGATCCGCTGTACTACAAGGATGTGCTGACTCGATCCTACCCCGAAAACTTCTACCCCCACGACTCGGAAGACGAATGTGACAGGACCATCGGTCGAGACCATCGGATCGGGTCCTTCATTCAGCCACCCAAAGCGAGATCACCCGAGAGCAGCTGAGTCTGCCTCTGGCCCCGCCTCCCTCTCCTCCAGGCATTCGTGGCATCCTATGCGCTATGGGTCGTCCAGAGTATCGACCTCTGGCTTGTCAGCCGGTCACTTTATGACACCATGAAGTACAGCGATCGCCACCTCGCTGGCCTCTCCGCAAGGCCCCCCGACCGCGTCGAACTCATCGGCGCGGGCTCTCTCGGCTACGGGACCGGCCCCAGCTTCGGCTGAGGGCTAACAAGCTGCCGAGCCCAAATCACTGTGAGAGTCGTGATACGTGAATACGTGATTTCTTGTTGGTCTTCAAAAATCTCTCTCTCGCATGGCCAGTCGATGCCGTGGTTGGTGCTCGGCCTCGGCTGGCCGCCAGAAAACACAACTCTAAGGGAGGAATGGGAGGCGCCACGCCACCACACAGGGATTTCACGGGAAGAATGAACCAAAGACAGTTTTTCTCTTTGGCCGTGTTCGAGTAGAAGTTCCCTGTTTGTTGCCGTCGAGGAGCTGGAGCGGCGCCTGCACGTCGAAGGCCGTGCGTACACATGAGTCGCGTCGCTCCACCATCGTCCGCGGGGGCGGCGGCCTCCTCGACCAAGGCGCTGCGCAAGTACAAGCTCGTCTTCATCGGCGACCAGGCGGTCGGCAAGACGTCAATCATCTCGAGCTTCATGTACGGCACCTTTGACTCGCACTACGCCTCAACCATCGGCATCGACTTTGTCTCGAAGAGCGTGCCGGTGGACGATGGAACGGTCCGTGCGGCGGGGCGTGCGGGCGTGG